TATAATATTCGCCCATATTTGTGGAATTTTCGTAAAAGAAGGGATGGTCAGTTTGTCTAAATTTTCGATCTATGGAAGCTCATAGTTGCCATACTGCTGTCTATGCTAAAACTACTACATATTTCAAATTCATTTTTTCTACGTGTATTCTTACACTTTTCTGTTTCTGTTTATTACAGACTTTTACCAAACAATATCCACACATGTAACATACCATGCAAAGGCAATAAATGGTGTTGGATTGGGTAAACTGGCTGAACGTTATTTATGGGACAGCACAATTAGAAATATAGAACATTTTCCCCCATAAAATAACGGTACATATTAATTTAATTGAAAATACACAACACAATGCTTTTAAACAAAAGAGGGTGTCAGGTTTGTGTTAACATGATAAATGTAATGCTTCATTACGAATTTAAATAAATTATATCAGCTGAAATGACTATGAGGAAGAGTTTGAATAGGGTTTTTTCGGTAAAAACGAGCAAGCGCTGTTAGATAATTCCTTTCGTCGATTTAACAGCTGGTAAACATATCTAATATGTAAAACAGCAATAACAGATTTTTTTTAAAGTTTGATAAATTATTCTGAAACCGTAGGATATTTAAAACTGTCTGTAAACATCAGTACAAAAGTGACTATTGTTAATCAAAAGCTGTCTGCTTAGTGTTGTTAGAGGTAGGTGTTTTGTAAACTTAGCCCTATACCAAAGTGAAAGTTGGAAACGATTTAAGATGGTTTCCGAATGTTGAGTGTTCTCTAAAATGGAATATATCTTCCAGTTAGTTTTTTCTCCCTGTCATAATTCTATGAGCTTAAACATATTTTAGAACAAAGCAGAAAAGAAATATAAAATTACCATAGCGGGAAACATTTCTGACATGAACCTCATTGAAAACATTTTGGTCACATGACAAAAAAAAAGCATGTTGGCAAAAACGTGGGCCTTTCGAATGCTTGGCAAAGGAATTGGTACTCATTAGATAAATCCTTCTGCAAATTACTTAATCATAGCCAGAATTGTAACAGTGACAAAAACTAAGGAATGCTATACACATGTTTGTCTAGGAATGGACGAAGCAATGCCTGGTATTGAGGAAATCCAATGCTAATCGATCGAATTCAATTTTGTTGTTACTGCATACGGATAATATATCTGCTATAAATGTCCAATCCAGGCTGTACTCAACACATTATAAAGTGAGGACTGTAGGGAAAACATACTCATACGATCGAGGAAAATAAAAGGAAACCAGTATCAGAATTAGATATTCAAACAAAACTACTCAGTAATGCGGAGGTAGGAAAAGTAGATTAAAAGAAAGATTAAAAAAAAAGTTTTTTTTTTTAACAAAACCGTAAATGAAAAACAAAAATCGATAAAACTAGGGCAAAATATATGGAAAGGGAAAGTAGACGTGAAAGCTTCCAAAGGTACAAAGCCAATAAGAGCATATAATTCAGAAAAGTAAGCGCCTTCTGCTTCATCGGCGATACTCGGCATGTAAATCTCATTCAAATCAAGTAAAGCCACGTTTACCCTGGGAAGTGACGACTAAAACAAGGTGTACTAACAAGCATAACAAAAACATCGACCTTCTATTTATATTACAAAAGAAAAGAAAATATTTCTAATGGGATCATGGATCGTACCATAACATTTGCACATAATCGTCGTCATATTTCCACAACAGTCTGACTCACACGAGAAGCTGTGTATTTTGTCAAACTGAAACTACAACTGTAGCAGGAACTAACACAGCTACCTGGAAGACACCATTGAAAGTAGAATCATCAGCCCGATCTGTATTTACCTATGTATATCATATAATTGATGTCCATGTTGTAGCCAGCAATGAGTAAAGAAGAATAGAATACAAAAATACGTCGTTAGATGGTAAATATGAAATGTGAAAATACGAGCATGAAAACGCAATGCGCCGTTTTTTTGTGTTTCTATTGTTTTTACTAACTCTCTTACTGGTAATATATTCATCATTTCACGGATAATAATTTATGACAATAGTACATCATCTAACAAATATTTTAATTGTTGATCTAACCTATACGTCTGTCTAAATACAGAATAAATGGCTTATCATATGAATAGTCAGATACGTCATCAATAACCAATGATATACTGACAGGTATAGCTTCGTGAATCGGAAGGTAGTGACGATACTCGACACCGCTATTCTGACAAATCCCAAGGCCGACAATATCGGACATTATTTTTGAGAACCTCATTTCACGGCGCTGTGAAGGATTTCTGAAGGTAGGTATGTTGTAATCGTGTTGTTTGACAATTGTTAGATGTAAAAAAGAAACCGTATGATGAAAGGGATCTGTAGTTTGTGTAACTAATCAATCTGGTATATAGACATGTTGGGTAGTACCTAACCGTTGCAGTGTGAGGCGGCCATTACCGGTTCGTTACTAATGAAATGTAGCAAGAACAATGCTTATAAATAAACTGAATTTTCAATCTGTTTTAACAATTCTCTTGTAAGTAAGCATGCTAGTTGATATAAAGGTGTTCAAAGATATATTTAACTGTAATTCATGGTTGACACAAAGCTATGTAGTCTGCTGGAATGGTGTAACGTTATTTCTTGCATTAAAACACAACAAATTGTAACAACTTTAGGACCTTAGCCTTCGGTACATTTAATTATAGAACATTTTGGTCACTCACTAAGAAGCACATTTACCTTAATTGCATGTAAACGACAAACATTGATATGTGTAGTTTGTTTGTATGGGTTAGTGTTACTTGTTATAACTTGCAGCAGCTAATTTTATATAAAGTATGCAATATAGATCATGTGATTGCCACGTCGTTCGTTACCCATGACAACCTAACTGCATCATGATAGACACAAATACGGCATTCGTTACACATGACAAACTAACAGGCACAGCTCGCCAACAATAACAGGCCGTGTTACTTACAGGTAGTAGAACTGAAGAAATACTGCATTCATTAACAAAAACCGAAACCAAATGATACAAAACTTGACAACAAAATAAGGATTTTTATGAAGAACTACTGGAATGCTTACAACATAGTAAACTGCACAGTCAGTCATAGTTACAAAACCGATACAACAATGTTCTGAGGATACATCTCAAATTGAAGGTTGAGGTTACAAACAAGATCTAAATCGCCGTGGCTTGTCCATACTGTTATTTCACGATATTAGGAAAATAAGTTTCTTGCATCAGCTCTATCATGCATACACATACTGTGATTTCGTATGGTGTAGTGTTACTTGTGTTAAAAACAAACCAATTTCGAGTTTTTTTCTTCAGATTTAATGAAGATGAAGACTGTTCATTGTGCCATATTTTATCTCGTCATCATGGCTGGATTCACCCCTAGTCAAGGTTAGTGTGATAAGTGTCACTTCTTGTCATGATAACTGTGATAAGTGTCACCCCTAGTCACGGGTGATAAGCGTCACCCCTAGTCATGGTGAGTGTGATAAGTGTCTCCCCTAGTCATGATGAGTGTAATAAGTGTCACCTTTAGTCATGGTGAGTGTCAAAAGTGTCATCCCTAGTCATAGTAAATGTGGTAAGTGTGATCCCTAGTCATGGTGAGTGTAATAAGTGTCACCCCTAGTCATGGTGAGTGTGATAAGTGTCAACCCTGGTCACGGCAAGTGTGATAAGTGTCACCCCTAGTCATGGTGAGTGTCAAAAGTGTCATCCCTAGTCATGGTGAATGTGGTNATGTAGTAAGTGTGATCCCTAGTCATGGTGAGTGTAATACGTGTCACCCCTAGTCATGGTGAGTGTGATAAGTGTCACCCCTAGTCATGGTAAGTGTGATAAGTTCACCCCTAGTCAAGGTTAGTGTGATAAGTGTCACCCCTATTCATGGTGAGTGTCAAAAGTGTCACCCCTAGTCACGATGAGTGTGGTAAGTGTCACCCCTAGTCACTGTGAGTGTGATAGATGTCACCCCTAGTCTTGGTAAGTGTGATAAGTGTCTCCCCTAGTCATGATGAGTGTAATAAGTGTCACCTTTAGTCATGGTGAGTGTCAAAAGTGTCACCCCTAGTCACGATGAGTGTGGTAAGTGTCACCCCTTGTCATGGTGAGTGTGATAAGTGCCACCCTAGTCAAGGTGAGCTTGATAGTTGTCACCTCTAGTCATGGTGAGTGTGACAACTGTTACCCCTAGTCAAGATGAGCTTGATAGTTGAGTGTGATAAGTGTCACCACTCATCACGGGGAATGTGGTAAGTGTCACCCCTTGTCATGGTGAGTGTGATTAGTGTCTCCCCTAGTCATGATGAGTGTAATAAGTGTCACCTCTAGTGAAGGTGAGTGTGATAAGTGTCGCCCCTAGTCAAGGTGAGCTTGATAGGTGGCACCCCTAGTCATGGTGAGTGTAATAAGTGTCACCTCTAGTGAAGGTGAGTGTGATAAGTGTCTCCCCTAGTCATGATGAGTGTAATAAGTGTTACCCCTAGGCACGCCGAGTGTGATAAGTGTCACCGCTAGTCATGGTGAGTGTGATACGTGTCTCCCCTAGTCATGGTTAGTGTAATAAGAGTCTCCCATAGTCATGGCCAGTGTAATAAGCGTCACCCCTAGTCAAGGGGAGTGTAATAATTGTCACCCCTAGTCAAGGTGAGCTTGGTAATTGTCACCTCTAGTCATGGTGAGTGTGATTAGTGTCTCCCCTAGTCATGGTGAGTGTGTTAGTGTCACAACTAGTCATGGTGAGTGTAATACGTGTCACCCCTAGTCATGGTAAGTGTGATAAGTTCACCCCTAGTCAAGGTTAGTGTGATAAGTGTCACCCATAGCCACGATGATTGTGGTAAGTGTCACCGCTAGTCATGGTGAGTGTGACAACTGTTACCCCTAGTCAAGATGAGCTTGATAGTTGTCACCTCTAGTCATGGTGAGTGTGAAAGTGTCAACCCTGGTCACGGCGAGTGTGATAAGGGTCACCACTAGTCACGGGGAATGTGGTAAGTGTCACCCCTTGTCATGGTGAGTGTGATAAATGTTTCCTATAGTCATGTTGAGTCTAATAAGTGTCACCTTTAGTCATGGTGAGTGTCAAAAGTGTCATCCCTAGTCATGGTGAGTGTAATACGTGTCACCCCTAGTCATGGTGAGTGTAATACGTGTCACCCCTAGTCATGGTGAGTGTGATAAGTGTCACCGCTAGTCACGGTGAGTGTGACAAGTGTCACCCCTAGTCACGGTGAGTGTGTTAAGTGTCACCACTAGTCACGGCGAGTGTGATAAGTGTCACCCCTAGTCACGGTGAGTGTGATAGATGTCACCCCTAGTCATGGTAAGTGTGATAAGTGTCTCCCCTAGTCATGCTGAGTGTGTTAGTGTCACAACTAGTCTTGGTGAGTGTGATAAGTGTCACAACTAGTCATGATGAGTGTGATAAGTGTCACCCCTAGTCACGGTGAGTGTGATAAGTGTCACCCCTAGTCACGGAGAATGTGATAAATGTCACCCCTAGTCTCGGTGAGTGTGATAAGTGTCACAACTAGTCATGATGAGTGTGATAAGTGTCACCCCTAGTCACGGTGAGTGTGATAAGTGTCACCTCTTGTCACGGTGAATTTAATACGTGTCACCACTAGTCACGGAGAATGTGGTAAGTGTCACCCCTAGTCATGGTGAGTGTGATAATTGTCACAACTAGTCATGGTGAGTGTGATTAGTGTTACCCCTAGTTACGGTGAGTGTGATAAATGTCACCCCTAGTCACCGTGAGTGTGATAAGTGTCACCCCTAGTCACGATGAGTGTGGTAAGTGTCACCCCTAGTCATGGTGAGTGTAATAAGTGTCACCTCTAGTCATGGTTAGTGTAATAAGTGTCACCTTTAGTCAGGGTGAGTGTGATAAGTGTCATCCCTAGTCATGGTGAGTGTGATAAGTGTCACCGCTAGTCATGGTGAGTGTGATAAGTGTCACAACTAGTCATTGTGAGTGTAATAAGTGTTACCCCTAGGCACGGCGAGTGTGATAAGTGTCACCCCTAGTCACGATGAGTGTGGTAAGTGTCACAGCTAGTTACGGTGAGTGTGACAAGTGTCACCCCAAGTCACGCTGAATGTAATAAGTGTCCCCTCTAGTCATGGTTAGTGTAATAAGTGTTACCCCTAGTCACGGGGAGTGTGATAAGTGTCACAACTAGTCATGGTGAGTGTGATATGTGTCACAACTAGTCATGGTGAGTGTGACAACTGTTACCCCTAGTCAAGATGAGCTTGATAGTTGTCACCTCTAGTCATGGTGAGTGTGATAAATGTTTCCTATAGTCATGTTGAGTCTAATAAGTGTCACCTTTAGTCAGGGTGAGTGTGATATGTGTCTCCCCTAGTCAGGGCGAGTGTGATAAGTGTCACCCCTAGTCACGGTGAGTGTGATAGGTGTCACCGCTAGTCATGGTGAGTGTGTTAGTGTCACAACTAGTCTTGGTGAGTGTGATAAGTGTCACAACTAGTCATGATGAGTGTGATAAGTGTCACCCCTAGTCACGGTGAATGTGATAATTGTCAAAACTAGTCATGGTGAGTGTGACAACTGTTACCCCTAGTCAAGATGAGCTTGATAGTTGTCACCTCTAGTCATGGTGAGTGTGATAAATGTTTCCTCTAGTCATGTTGAGTGTAATAAGTGTCACCTTTAGTCAGGGTGAGTGTGATAAGTGTCATCCCTAGTCATGGTGAGTGTGGTAAGTGTCACCCCTAGTCACGGTGAGCTTGATAGTTTTCACCCCTAGTCATGGTGAGTGTGATAAGTGTCATCCTAGTCATGGTGAGTGTGGTAAGTGTCACCCCTAGTCACGGTGAGCTTGATAGTTTTCACCCCTAGTCATGGTGAGTGTGATAAGTGTCATCCTAGTCATGGTGAGTGTGGTAAGTGTCACCCCCTATTCACGGCGTGTGTGATAAGTGTCATCCCTAGTCAA